GAGGGATAAATTATGGGCTCAAGTTGTCTTAAGTATTCATGGGCAAGTGGCGGATGGCTAGGACTCAGGAGTTTCAACTAGGGCTACGAGAGCTTCTCCTTGGAAATCCATTCATGCCATACTTCCTTCCTTCCTCTAATCAGATATGATCTGTGCTCTGGTAACCTCATGAAATTTTGGGATCATGTTTGGGTGGGAAGTACTCCGTTGAAAGAGCTTTTCCCTTCCTTGTATTATCATGTTTTAAAAATGAGCCAATCTCCACTTTTTTTACCACTTCTAATTCAACTATTGGCTGGAATTTGGGTTTTAGAAGGGCCCTTAGAGACTCTGAACTGAACCTCATTTCTGACCTGCTAAAAATCCTAGATGATGTGGTGATTGACCCCCTTAGGAGGGATAGTAGGATTTGGGTCCCTTCTCCTTCGGGTGTCTTCTCATGTTCCTCTTTCTTCAAAGAGTTGGCTCATTCCCCACCTGTTTTTAGGCTCCCTTTTCCAGTTTTGGAAGTCTGGGGTAGACCAATTTCCTCCCAGAATTAGTGCCTTTTGCTGGGAAGCTTTCCTTGAAAAGTGTAACACTTGCGACCTACTCCAAAGAAAAAGGCCTAATTGGTGTTTATCCCCACACTGGTGCATCCTTTGTAAGAAGAATGGTGAGACTTGTTATCACTTATTGGTTTCTTGCCCATTTGTTTCAGAGATCTGGTGTTGGTTTTTCTATCTTATTGGTTGCAAGTGAAACCCTCCCCCCCAAATGTACAAAGCCTATTCCATTCTACTACAGTTAGGGGGCTGAAGAAGAGAGGGAAAATTCTGTGGTGTGTAAGAGCAGTTGTATGTTGGACAGTCTAGGAGGAAAGGAACCAATGGACCTTTCATGGGAAAGAAAGGAATAAGGGTGTAATCATTAAACTAATTTCTATAATGGTGATTCATTGGGTTAAGACTTTGCAAATTTTTGAAAACTATTCAAAAGGAGATATCATCATGAAGTGGAGAGAAGTGGCTTCGTCAGCTCCAAGGAAGAATTCATCTAACCGAATTTCGTCCCCTCCAGCTTCAGGGTTCATTAAACTAAACTTTGATAGTAGCAGCGAAGGAAATCCAGGCCTATTGGGTATAGGGGGGCTTTCAGGGATGATGAAGGTCGAATTATTGCTTTGTACTCTGGTTCTATTGGATGGGGGGACTCTCTTAGAGCTGAAGTACTGGATGTTTTGGAAGGATCAAAAAGAGCTCAAGAGTTAAATATCAGAAAACTGATAGTGGAAGGTGACTCTAAGTTGGCTATAAACTGGCTAATGAAGGATGATTCTAGTTTGTGGAAGTTTCTAAATTAGAAGAAGAAAGTTAGACATGTCACACAAAATATGAAAGTCAAGTTTCAATGGACTAAGAGGTGCGCCAATTCCTTGGCAGATTCATTGGCCAAACAAGGGGTGGGAAGAGTTAAATTTTTCTGGGCAATATTGTAATCTGAACTGTATTCTTGGGAGGGTTAAGAGTTTTTTTTTATATAAATGATTGAATTTTATTCAATAAAATCAATAAGATATTACAATACAGCCTTCCCAAAGGAGGGGCACAAGCTGGTACCTCTCCACAATAGCAACAATGTACTACCTCAGACTAGTAACAAAAAATTTACAAAGCTGCCCAGAAAAACTGTTCCCTTGATACCCCTTGTTTAGCTAACCCATCCGCTATGGTGTTAGCTGTTCTACCCACCCACTGAAAAATAACATTCATGTTCCTTGAAAACCATTTAGCTTTCCTCATAATACCCCTGTAGCACCAGATCACTGAATCTGGATTTTTTAGCCAACCCACAACAACTTTGGAGTCTCCTTCAACAATCAAATTTTGAACTCGTAACTGATCCACAACCCGAATGCCTTGTACTGCCGCTAGGAGCTCAGCTCTGATAGAGTCTCCTATACCCACAGAGCCTGAGAACAAAGCTAAAACGTCACTATCTTTATCTCTCAGCACCCCCCCAATCCCTGAAGGCCCCAGATTTCCTTGGCTGCTACCATCAAAATTCAGCTTTGTCCAGTCTTCTGAAGGGGGTACCTACACATCTGGTACCCTGTTCTTTCTGTTACTGCTACTAGCCACAGCCCTCCAGTTCCTCCACATGTCATCAAAGGAATATAATTTTAAGGAATCTAATAATCTCAGCCAGTGGATTGCCCTGGTCAAAATACAAGAGGGTTAAGAGTTTTTAACCCTCCTTTTGTATCTTTCTTTATTAATATCTATTAATAAAATTCTTTGTTATCTATCAAAAAAATAATAATAACAAAAGCTTTATTAATTATGAGAAGATTGTGAAACTTTAGGTACAATAGGGGGAGATAAAATGTCTTAGCTCTCCATCAACAAAATACAATGAAAGAAAATTAAAAATTAGCCCAAAAGATAGACTCCCTATTCACCCCTTGCTTGGCCAACACATCTGCAAATGAGTTAGTGGTCCTCTTCACCCAGCTATATTGTATCTCAAAGTCCCTACACAGCCATAAGAATTTTTTTCTTTTCATTGTTATAGCTCCACAAACCACTGTCCTCTTTCTTCAACCAACTAACCACCACCTTCAAATCACCTTCCAGGATCAAACGTCTTATATTTAGTTCCCTTGCGCTTTGAATTCCTTCCAAAGCTGCAAGGATCTCAGCCCTAAGAGAATCACCTTCTCAAATAGGGCCAGAGAACAAAGCAAAAACAATCCCCTCCTCATTCCTGAATACTCCCCCAATCCCAGAGGGTCCTGGATTCCTTAAACTACTGCCATCAAAATTCAATTTTATAAATCCAGAGGGAGGAGGGGACTAAGAGTCCTCTTGCACCGAGCAGAGGTAGCTCCCTCTTCCCAATTTTACAACATAGTGTTTCAATATCGTTTATATTGATTTCAACGACTTTTACTTGGGCATTTGGAAATTTGAAATATTGCCACTTATTGCTAAAATTAGTCAGATAAGTAGTCAAGTGCATCTGGTTACAACTATGGCAGGCCCACTAAATACATGAACTCTTGCTCTGGTTAATAAGTGATACACAAACATTTTCTTTACTCTTTAAATATTTTAAAACTTTCAATATAACAATAATACCCTTCATACCCATGTTTAAATAAAACCAAGGTTCAAAGTATCAATACGATACACCCTGTATCGGGCGTATCATATCGTATCATGAGGATTCCTATACACCTGTTTAAAGTTGTTTTCAGGAAACTCTTTATTTTATTTATTAAATAATATAAGAATATCTACAAAATGAAATTTTGAAAAAAAAACAAAAAAAAACAAAATGTATGGTTTAAACTACCAATACACCACTGCTGATACACAAAGGTGTACTGATACTTTAAACCATGAATAAAACAAACTGCAATGGCCACTCTAGTTAACAACTCCAATATGCTCGTCTAACAGGACCACAAACATACATTGTCTAGACATAAAAATAACCTTTTATCACAATATGATCTAATTAAACTTCAGAGGTATCAGATTTCAGATTTCCAAATGTCATCTTGGTAATAATATTAATAAAATCACCATTTCTATATGTCATCAAAACAAATTGTTTTAATACCATTTAATTCTCTTTAAACCCATAACTTTTCATTTTTCCCATTATATATAAATTGTCCTTAAAATTTTCATTGGTGAAAAATTTTAATTATGCATAATTTATTCAAATGTATTTGGTTAACTCTTATGAAAGGATCACCAATAACAATATAGCAATAGAAGCATATGCATATATCTATTATAATTTCTATATTAAATAAAAAACAATGGCATAAAATTTACAATTCAAAATATCAAGAATAGGTACATTTGATATTATATGATAATTTATAGCAAGTAATATTTTCAAATCCTTAATTTATTACTAGTCAGGAAGTAGACATCTTCATATGAACTAATCATTTAAAAAATCACTGTTATTGCTTTCTAATCATCCAATTAATTAACAGAACATGTCCTTTTATAATTTTAAAAATACTAAAACATATTTTCATTAGATGAATAATTACTTAAGAAGGCTCAAGGCTCTTCCCTGTACCAGAACACCTTTTTAAGGAGCCTGCTTCAAGATAGGCAAATTACCGATCAGATCATTAATGCTAATAAATGCATAAAGGAAATGAGAATATCAGGAAAAGGGCTTGGTTTGAGGTGATGTCATGATGAGCATGTGTGGGCTTGGTGATAGGTGATGCAAGTAGATTTTGGGATACCTACAATCTTGTCATTACTCAATTTTTGCGAATGGGGTGGTTAAGGGCTTTTCTTTTGGAAGCACGCAGGTCTTAGACAAGGGGATCCACTATTTCCCTTTCTCTTCATTTTGGTTGCAAATGCTTGGTAGAACTATCACTAGAACTGGTAGAATGCAGAAAATAAGGGATTAGAGAATCGAGAAGATAGAATGGTAGTCAAACATCTCCACTTTGCTGATGGCATCTTTGTCTTCTGTTAGGGAGGAGAGGCTCGATGGATAAAGAATTCAAGGTTGGCTGTGAAGCTCTTTGGGTAAATTTCTAATTAAATGATCAATCTAGATAAAAGCTGTTTTGCAGGGATTAATGTGGATGAGAGCATGGCTCAAAGTATCGATACGATACGCCTGATAGGGGGCATATTGTATCGTATCTTTTGAAAAAGATACGGTCCGAAACGCCTGTTTCCAGGTGTTTCGGACCCCCAATTTTTTTAATAATAAAAAGCATGCTAAAAGCTTCCCAAAAAACCAAAATGTGAAAAAATAAATAAAGTTTCAGCCATTTCCAAGTACCGATACGATACGACCGAAACTCGTATCGTATCGATACTTTGAACCTTGGATGAGAGCAATTTAGTCTCCTATGTGGAAGTTTCACATTACCTATCAAAAAAGCAAATTCCAATAACAAGAATGTTTTCAACCAAACCTGAAATAGAAAACATAATTTCACTACTAGAAAACATACGAGTGCTTACCGTATCAATGTCTTCAGTTGTTGTCCAGGCAAATTTTGTCATAGGGTGCTTTTCATACAAAGGTCTTTTAATCTTATCTAAAGCTGACATAAAGGGAAAACAACACAATCATGAAACCAGGATCATCAAAGAAAGGCATAAACCTACCACTTCTAATACAAGAAAACATGTAAGAGATGAGAGCAAAGTTCGCTACTTACCAAGAATAGTTTCCTGGACATTTTTTGACTGAAGAATTTTTGCCTGCAGACCCTTTTTCTGAAAGTCAATTTCTGTTAGAGCTTCATCCAAACGATTTAAAAAAAGATATAGGAGTAAAAAAATCCTACGTCTAACAGACTGATACAAACAAATGAACATTTCAAAGAAAACCATTATCTATTTACCAGAAAAGGAAAAAAAACATGTGCACCTAGAGGTAATATAAAGGGCAATGAGAGTCATTAAAAACCAAATGTAAGATGTAAATTGGAAATTACCTCCTTAAGGAAACTAATTTCAGACTCAGATAAGCCTCTCCTGTGCAAGAAATAAAATAAAAAATCTAAATTTTTACTTTTATGCATAAATTAGAAACTATTAATCATAAAAAAACAGGCCTACAAAAGAAAACAAAATATATAGCCTTACAATGCAAACCATGTGCATCCAATACAATGTTCCAGCTAAATATAAAATGTCTCCTATCAACGGATAATTATTATCTGTAAGAATCAAAGGATTTTACAGATGATTATTAACAGACAGATATTACTTGGATGTAAAGAAAAAGTAGACTCGCAAAGTGCTATCTACCCCCAAAAACTAACACATTGTATTCCCCTTGGAGTCTACCCACGAAAACTAATCCACTGGAGTGTGAACATCAGTTCCTCAGCCAGTGCTCTAACCAAAGCCTAAATAAAAGTACTGCCAAAACCAACTGACATATACCAGTAAGAGCAAAAGGAAAAAGAGTTTGGTAGTAAAGCAATTCCAAAGAAAAACCGGGTACCATTTGACACGACAATCTCCTATGGAGCCCACTGACCTAAACGATCTCTAGATTGGACCAAAAAATAGAAATCAATGTTATAAGCATCCAAGATTATTCAATATCTTGAAAGAAGCCTCATTCCCATGTTTCCAGGATCTGAAAGGACAGTCTTGTAATTCAGACTAATTTGAATATTAAGCCAACTTTAGGGTTTCAGGGTTTCTTTGGATGGTTGGAAGGTTTAGTCCTCCAGTAATTTGTTATTATTAGTAAAACCTACTACTCCAATAATTTCTTAACTACAATTTATGGTAAAAATCTGTCAAAAATATTGATGATTTTAAATGAGGCTTCCCCACAAAAAAACGCAACCAAACCTCATTATCCGACAGCATGAAATGCTACTTCATACACATGCAAGGAAACTTTTAGAGATAAAACATGCAAGGATAACTTTAATATAAAATGCAAGTCAACAAAGAACTTTTTTTATCAATAACCACAATTCATTAATTAATCACAAAAATATTACAAGGATGAAGATAAACTTTCTTATCTTCCAGTTGGAGCTTGAGCTCCCAAGAACAAAAACGGAAAAAATTACACTTGTGCCCAAAACATTAACTCCCTCTCAACTCCTTGCTTAGCTAACCCATCAGCAAAGGAGTTAGCTGACCTTTTCACCCAGCAGATCTTAATTTCCATCTCTTGAACAAGCCATCTAAATTTCCTCCTCTCATTACTGTACATCCATAAACTGCTATTTTCTTTGTTCAGCCACCCTACCACCACCTCCGATCCCCTTCAATGATGAGTTTTCTAATATTCATCTCCTTAGCTCTTTGGACTCTTTCTAGAACTGCAAAAATCTCAGCCCTGAGAGAATCACCCACTCCATATGGGCCTGAAAACAAGGCTGAAACCAGCCCATTCTCACCCCTAAACACACCTCCAATCCCCGATTGTCCTGGATTCCCCCGACTACTCCCATCAAAGTTAAGTTTTAAAAAACTGGCCAGTGGGGGGGTCCAATACACGCTCATTATTGTTTTGGGCTGGGTGCAGTTAGCAATCTCACTCCACTTCCTCAATAAATCATCCACTGTGAAGTCTGTAAACAGCTCTGAAGATTTTGTTAACAGATGTTATTTTATATATGTATAGTACCGCAGGGGTACTATTGTACTTTTCCTTTCTTTATGTTTAGTTGTTGTCGCCCTAGTATAAA